GCGGTCGACCGCCAAACTCATCGCAGTCGACCGCGATAAATGACAGAGACTAAAATCGATCCGCGGTCGACCGCCAAACTCATCGCAGTCGACCGCGATAAATGACAGAGACTAAAATAATTACAGGGTCGGCCACGGTCGACCGCACAATTATCCCGGTCGACCGTCAAATGTCCAAAGCCTCTCCCTGATCCTGTGCACGTTCGCGATCGACCGCCGAAGTGCCGCGGTCGACCGTGAGATTTCCAAAGTGTTCCCTTCATCGTTTTGCCTGAACTTCATCACGGTCGTTCCCAATTCTACATGTTAACAACGTAATAGTTGAAAGAGAAGGAAAGAAAGTGGCGAAGGTGATGGAGATAGCAAAGACGATGAAAAAAAAATGATGAAGAGAAAGAGATGGAAGAGTGGAGAAAATATGTATTTATGTATCCTTCTTGGTGGTGAAAACTATGTGACCTAGAGTTCACATAAAATTATTTGAATGTTAATTATCTATTTATGTACTTGTAGTAGTTTTTAGTTTAGTTGATTGGTTCATGTTAATTTCTGGATTTTGTATTTATATAAACTTGAGCATTTTTATGTTACTAGATTTTATGCACGTGCAATGTACGTGGTTAAATACTGTTATTAGGTATTTTTAGTTTATTTTATTATTAAAATTTATTCCTCGGTTACACTTTGATAATTTTTTGCTCACTTTAATTTAAGTATTTTTGGTTTTTTTTCTTACTAAAGCTTATTCCTCGATTACAGTTTGATTATTTATTTATATTTGTTTGAATAGGCTACACCCAATTTAAATTTTTATGTTGATAGTTGAATTGTCAAGAGATAAATATAATCTAAATCCAATTTAAATTTTTATTTCATTTGGACTGGCATGAAACGGAGCTTGACATGAGGAAGTATAGTATTATGAAAGTGAAAACACTTAAAAAATAATATTATAAAGAAAGATGAATAATAAAGTCAACGAGCCAAGATGATTGATTTAAAAAGGGCTAAAATGACAAAAAATAGTTAATGAAAAAAAAATCATAAACTAAAGATTAATACTAACTCCAATACACTTTTATATGGTAAAAACATCCACATATGCATATGAAAGCACTAAAAAAGTTTATGAAAATCTCTTCTAAAGATTCCTAATTTTACTAAAAAATTAAACTATTCTATAACAATTCACAAAACATTATATTTTGTTCCTTCTATTTTATCTTTTATTGAGTCGAGATCAATCCTTCTTCATCTTTATATTTTTTCTAGGAAATTCTAGAGTAGTGTCTTCATCGTTTACATTGACTGTGATGTGAGGCTGGAGCATGTTATCTTTCTTTGGGATCATTCATCTTTTGTCTTCTCGTCTAAATTCATAAAGAAGTTGAATATATTTCTTATGTTCAACACAAAATTCTAACAATACGGACTTTGATTTTTTCTATTTCAATAAGAATAAATGTTAATTTCATATATATAAAATTTTTTTTCGCTTTTAATTTATAACTTAAATAAGGTTAGGAGCTACCATTTTTTTCTGTGTAATAAATTCTTCTATTGTGCATCCAATAAGAATTTCTATTATGTCATAATATTACATTTGCTCTGTCTGTGTCATTTTCTATGAGGATCTGAACTAAATACATTACATTTTTCATTGTCAATTCATTTTAGATTATAATATTAATATTTAATTTTGATATACTTATTTTGTGAAGAAGGGATATCACTTAACCTTGGTACTACATCATGACGATTCTACAACATTTATCATTTAGACACTTATTATTAACATCTCTATCCACTTTCTTATTACAACCTTTGTAAACATAGAACCATTGTTTAACTCTATTATAAATGGTAGTTATCATTATCTTAAAGGTGTCCTACTGTGTCTGTATATTGATAAATTATTCTTAGGTTTAATTGTATGAATTTTAGAGTAGGTTTTCTAAGATCATACCTCTTTCGAATATTATAATGGATGTATATATTAGTAATTTGAATTTCTGTTATATTTATAAAGAGCCTTAATAGAGATGCTTTTGTCTTGGCAGCTTACTCTGAAAGAGTGCTGCATATTAACTTTAAAATAAAATATTTTTTACGGTGTTATATGGATGTTTGCTTGGTTTACTTACTATTCTTTTGTTTATTCAGTAAGTTGTATCTTTGGGTTGATATATATATTATTGACGCAATTTACGATGACATGCATATTTCCTCTATAAATTTGAGATAGATATAAGGTGAATTTTATATTTAGTGGTCTTTAATAAGAATTTTAGTAATGATATATATTACCTCCATATTTAGAGATCTTGAAATCTAATAGTAGTCATACCCCTAAATAAAGTCACACGCATGGTCGTGATACTATATAAGAAAAAAGGACGATTTTATATTTTTTTTTCTTACGCAGAGTCATGACATAGTAATTTTTCTTTTATCTTCCATAAAGAACGTTTCTTTGATTGGAACAAAGTTGTTTATTATATTCTTCAGGGGGAATTCAGTCGGTGCTTCTTTGATAAATATAACTTATGTTAGTGTTGATTGAAGTGATTCATGGACGTTTCGAATTCCATTTGAAATGAAAACTGCTTGATTCTTTTGAAGGATATCGCTAAATTTTCTAATAGTTACCCATACATAAATCTTTGAAACTTTTTACCCTATACATATTACTACCATTAGAGATAAATATTTATAAATTATGATCAATTAATGTTAAGCTATTATATTATAGTCTTTTATTAGTTTTTGCAATTTAGTCTTTTATCAATTAATAATATTTATATATTATTCCCGCTCTAACATATTGGTAAAATTATATGTAGTTACTTTAATTTATATAATAACATTAATTTTTAACTTATCATATATTTTTAAATTTGTTATTCTTTGACTGGATATTTTAAATTTGTTATTATTGCTTTTTTTTACCATCATCAACTTGACTATTTTTAGATTCTGAAAAAGGATAGTAAACCTTAAATTATAAGTTACATTTATATATCTTAATGAAAAATTATCAAACAATTACTCTTTTCTTTGTCAAGTTTAAAATTTAAACTTTTTATTTTGTGTAATTTTAAACTTTTGAGAGTATTTTGTCTAATTTTTAAAACTTTTCGTTTTTTTTGTAATACTTCATGTAATAAACTGATACCACGGAGATGTTTCATATACTTTATTAATCTTATTTAAATTATTGAGCTATAGATAGTTCATGTGGTATTAGGATAGAATATATCTATGATTAGATAAATTATAATTTAAATTAAATATTTAAAATAGTACATGATAATTTTGACTATAGAAAGCTTTTCCCGAACTCATATTTTTAAAGGGAGTATGATTTTTATTTTTCTTAATTTTACTTTTTTATAATTTTGAGAATGACTTTTGTCTCTTTAATTTGTTTGGTAGATTTTGTAAATATCTCATCCACACTATGTACATTTGTAGGCCTGAGCTTGGGGCAAACATTATTTGTCTCATTAACTTGTTTGGTTTTTGCATATACACCCTTTATTTTGTAGACATTTGTGAATTTGGCATTTAATAATTTTGTTTAGATTTACATTTCAATTTAAACTGTATTCTTATATTCATACTATGTATATCCAATAAGAATTCATCAATTTATCAACTTACTCTTACTTAATGGACTAATATTTAAATTCCAAGGTTATTTTTGTCTACTGAAAGATTTTTCCGAACTCGTGTTTTTAAAGAGAGTATGATTCATTATGAATTTAGGCAGTTGCTAGGTAGTAAATTTTCTGTGCATATAGTTTTCTTATCAACATGTCTTTCTTTTAACTGAAATCTTATGGATGCCATATTGAACAATAAATACTAAGAATGCATTTGAAAGTTAATTTTCTGTGCATATAGTTTTCTTATCAACATGTCTTTCTTTTAACTGAAATCTTATGGATGTCATATTTAACAATAAATAGTAAGAATGCCTTTGAAAGTTAATTTGCAATTTACCTGAGAACTTTTAAAGAGTTAATTTCACAAAACACGTGTGAACGTGGAGAGTTTTGCGAGATTAACTTGAACTTTAAGTTATATCAAGTTTCACCTAATTTGTATACAAGAGTTTAACTGATTCAGATATAGCGAGAGTTAAACTTAAAATGAGAAGGAATCAACATTTAATTATCTAAAAAGAATTGCTATAAAAATTTCTTTTTCTAAAACTTATTGAAGACCATGTTGAGATTTGGATATAAAGAACAATGGACTAATCATAAGCTTAATATAAAATCAAATAATTCTTAATCAAAATTTAATAAATTAGTTTGTCTCAAGTATAGCAAGAGTTAAAATCATTAGAAGGAATCAACAATTTAGACTCTTACAACAATTTCTATGAAAAATTATTTTTCTAAAACTTATTGAAGACTATGTCGAGATTTGGATATAAAGATCAATGGACTAATCTAAGCTTAATATAAAATCAAATTACTCTTAATAAAAAAATTAATAAATTAGTTTGTCTTCTTGTAATCTAAGGATTGAGGTATCTGTATTACGTACTACAGAACTTACAAGTGCTTATATCATGTGGGATAAATTACATATTGGGGAATGTTAATTAATCTCAAAAAAATTGTAATAATAAGATCAATAATTATGCGCACGTCCAAAGCACGTACACTGAACTAGTTTTGTTAAACGAGCCGCCAACTTATATACATTTTTTCCTACATAATTTACTGATTCATATTTTCATATTTTCTATGAAGCAATTGCAACCACATAAATTCCCTACCGTTGATGCTCCAAAGTGAAGAACAATGCCCTGAGATACAATTAACTCGTTCTGATGTAGGGTAAATGGTTTAGGAATCTCATCCTATCTTCTTCAAAATCAATTGTCCTCAAATGGCTAGGAGTACCTTTTCAAGCTTTTTGGCCATTGCAGCTGCATGAGATCGACAATTTTAATGACCAGGGTCCAAAACGAACAACACATTTGCAATGAAGTAATGTAATCTTAAGGAGGACTAAAGAAATCTCAAAAGAAAGTTCCATGATCCGGCACATTAAAAAGAGTTATCTGCAAAACACATTTTGGCAGCAAACGACAAGTGATGGAATTTCAGCAACACCAAGCCCACCGTATTTATTGCTGTACGTGCAACAAATATCACGGTAATGATAGTACATCCGGAGAAAAGAATAGAAAACTGCAGCTATGTACACAAACTTTACACAGATTACCTGTTAGAATGCACCATAATGTGCACCTCTCCCCTCTTCTGGACTCAAATCATCAATCCAAGCCTATGATTTTTTTCTCTCTTTTTTTTTTGTTTGGCCAATTTCTACTATGATGATGAAAACCGTTAATTGCAACCAGACCCTCCTGCAGTGTTGCCGTTTTAAACTTACCAACCCCGGGTTTCGCTGTTCCAAGTAGGCCCACTGGTTAAATTTTTTTTGACTCTTTTGCGCTTGGACAGTACACCCAAATTTTGCCCGTGGGCAATAATATCAGGCAAAATTTAACCGACGGTAAATGAGTCAAAAAAAATTTAACCTGAGGGGTCTAGCTACACCAATGAAACTAGAGGCACGGTAAGTTCGAACAGTGGTACTACAGGGGGACTCTCCACAATTAACCCTAATGAGAAGATACAACTATATTTGTGTTTGTCATGCTGTGAAATCTATGAATCAGGACACATTTTGCTGTAAATGAAAACATCAATTTCACCCTCACATCTTCGATAAATCAACCATACCTCTTTATCTACACGTTCATCAGTTCGTCACCTCCGAGCCTGGCGATCTCTGCTACCATTCCCTAACGCAACCGCTGCTGACTCCACATGATTCAAAAGATACTCATAAATCTTCCTCCTCATCCTACCAATAGTCTCCTCAGGCACGCCTCGGACACCTCCATCGCCTTCTTCCGTGGCGAATTCCTCCAACCAATCATTCACATTTTTGATCTGCGACATCATCCCCGCCACCCTCTCCCTCTCCGCCTTTCCGGTCATGTCCACATCAGCATCCAAGAACCTCTCCACAAACTTCAAGAACCATCTACCCGATTCCTCCTTCAATGTCCTCACCAGCTCAGCTTCCTCCTTGGCCCCACCTTCGCGGTCCCACTCACGAGGTGGTGTTGATGACATCACCGGCGATGGCCGGATCTTGGCATGTGCATTTGACACGGGTTTTGGTGATGTAGATTTGGGTTTGTTATTTAGGACAACGGTGAGAGTAGAAGGGGAGGGGCTTTTGTGAGTGTAGAGGCAAAAGGGGGATAGATTGGTGGATAGGGCAGTGTTGACCCATGAAGTGGCGTTCTTTCTCTTGTTGGATGAGAGCTTGAGTGATTCTTCATAGGGGATGGAAGTTTCCGGAGACTGGAGATACTTGGAGACGAGAGTGGCTCGCTTTAGAGTGCTGTGGAAGTTGAGGAATTGCTCAACTGTGGGCTGAGGGTTGTCCTCGGTTGAAGATGAACTCAGCTCCGCATACATGCTGTATCAAGAAATTGTGTATCAGAAAATTTGTGCACACTACTACACACAACCATATAGTTTCCCATACATTGCACTTACATACCCTCACTTGTTTTTGGCAGCACTTATATAAAGTTTTTAAGATTTATACATGTAATTGTCATCTCTATTGTTTGTGTGCATGTTCTGTGTCTTATTTATTCTAAATATTTACCTTTACAGGGAAAAAAAGTAATAAGAAATATTTGCCTTCTGCTGACTCTTTGTTCCCTTTGAATATCTGGAAAGAATGGATGCATTAAATAATTGGGATAGAAGTCTTCGTTATTGATAATATAGTGTATATGGTGGTTAGTCTCAATGTTCAAGCTTAACATTATTGACCGCCAGAATATTTTCCTCGATTCTTCAACCAAACATGAGCATGTTAACATTAGGTAAGGAACAGTATTTTGGATGTCTCTTCCCAATAACTGTGATGATGAAAGCACCAGTTCAAATGGGATATATTCAAAGTGATATTGCATGAATTGGGACTACAAACCCTCCTATTTTCACCTATCGAGAAGTATTTAAGCACTTCAAATACTTGGATAATCTGTCTAAAATTGTCAGATGCCAAAAAGGTTTAACCAAATCTAATTATCAGCTCTAAAATGGTAAGATGAATAAACGTTCTCTGCAGCAGATGCTTAAGAAGATCAGTATTTAAGCACTTCAAATGGGATAAAATGGTACATGCTCTGGGATACCCTATTGAGACTGGTCCGTTCCGGGGTGCAACATATAAATAGAAACAAGCAAACTTTAGAAGTCAGCAAATTACCTTAAACACTGAACCAAGTTCTCTGCAGCAGATGCTTCCTGAATTGCCTCTATAGCAGCTTGTCGTGCCGCATCCCTATACTTCATAACTTCCTAAGTAAAAGGAAGATATCACATCTAACTTAGAAATGAAACAGTCAAATTGAATAATCCAGATTACAACATGTGATAAATTAAGCAAGAAAATCTGCAAATTGATATAATTCAAACAAAAAATGAAGATGTATATATCGTGTGTAAAAAAATATGAGTGTAGCACAAATGAGAATGTTAACGGGGGGCATATGGATATACACTAAGAAGTTAAAGATTGCTTCTATTGAGGATAAAGGAGAGACAATAGATTCATATGGTCCGGCCACATAATGGAGGCCACTAAATGCACCAATCAGGATAAATGATAATATTATAGTTTATGGAGCACAAGAAGAAATTGATGTAGGTTTAAGAGAACTTGATTTGAACCAATTAAGAAGAATATAACATTTGATAGAGGAAAGAGAGGATACATATTGTAGACCTAAAAAAATTAGGATTGTTAGTGTCCTCGTTGTTACAAATATACCTTTCCCAGTTCTGCTAGAGGAGATGGAAGTGATGCCCAAGAAACACTACCATCTGTCAATCTTCTGCTGCTACTGGAAACAATCTTTACTAAGTTTCCAGGATTCAAACTATGTGTGGCTTCTGCTGTCTTCTTCACAATAGGAGACCGATGTGTTCTTAGCTTATCACGATCTTCGACAGCTGCAGCTACACTCCCTTTCCTTGGGAGGTTCTGAATCTTGTTTTCCTCTTTTGGTAATCGCTTTTCACTTGTCTGCGGTTTTTTACGAGGGACCTGTTGGTTGAAAGAATACTGTAAAGATCAGCATCAATATCAAGAGAAAGAATTACATACATCTTTATACAGGCAAAGGGCAAATGTACCACTTTCATGAGCAAATTAAAGTAGTAAGAATGAAAAAAATGAAAGGGAACTGTAGCTTTAGAACAGGCCACCCCCCAACCAGCACCGCCCATCTTTGTTCAACAGTTGCATATTTATCAACCAAGATACAATATATTGCATAATTTTTACAACTTTTCCTATTTTTAATATAAAATTGTATTATACCAAATACTGCACCACCATTTTATATGATTGCTTCTTTTTTTTATACACAAAAACTCCTAATTTTCTATGCATACGCACAGAGAAAGGGACTCGCTCAATAGAGAAGGATTAGGTATTTAGGTCCGTCTCATCCTAACCTTTATCTTTTTTCTTTTGGGGTACAGATACAGCGTCCCATCCAAATTGAATGATACAGTAGTCAAATTCAAGTTCATATGTTTATAGTGATCACATAACAAAAATCAAACTTTTTATTCATTTTGTCTAAATGTCAAGGAGCTAGAATGCACAGCTACAAATAACTAGCTCCTTACATGTTTCAAATATGTCGGTGTCAGACACATCAATAATTATTTATTTATTTAATTTTTCTGTCTTGGAAATTTCCAATGTTGTAGAAAAAGTAACATGTCAAAAAGTTAACATTTCCAGGTTTGCAAACCTCTGCCAAAAATTTTCTCAGTCAAAGTAAAGTTGATATGTGGAAAAGACTAGTTTTCTGTCCAAACTAACATATGAACCAAACGCGAGGTTTCCTAAAAATGGCAGGTTTTTTTTTTCTTGGACATCCTACCAACTACGTTATAGAATCGAAATGAATAGAATAAAATGAAAGATACTTTTTCTACAAAGATCTTCTTGAGCCTTTCGATTCAAACCAAACCAAATATTATGAGGAAATTCATAGAACTCAACATTCAGCTTGCCACCAGCCCTGTTATACCACTATATCATAGTGGGATAATGATATAGTGCTTCAAGTTTAATCTAGTGCAGACAAATTAAAATAAATCTACAAAGTCAGAAGATGTATGCATAACTATGATTTCAAGTTTCAACCAGAGAAAGACCAACTCACTGAAGTAGCTTGAACCTCAGATTTCTTCTCAAGCTTGCCTTCCCTTGAACCAATTTTGCTATTTGCCTTTGTCTGTTCACAACCTCCCCAGCTCCTTCTCAAAGCCTTACTCCCCATATCCATGCCCCGAAGTGAATCCCCTTTTAAAATCCCACTTGAAGAATTTCTTCCAGATAAGCTTGATTTCAAAACCGGAGATGCTCTCTCCAAACAACCTGGCCTTGACGAAGCTGGAGCCTTACCAATCGATCTAACCTTCGCTTGTTGCTTAACTTCACTGGAGAATTTCTCAAATGTCGCAGGCAAAGAATAACAACTCTGTGGAGATGAAGGCAAGACCCTTGAGTTCATAGATCTCGTTCTCAAACCAATAGCTTCTTTCTTCTCCACGGTATTTTTCACTGTTAGTCTTGAATTAAAAGAGCTCGACTGGGTTAGAGTCAACTTTTTCTTTCTGGCTTCAGTTTTTCCCAAAACATCCAATTTCCCCAATTTAAGCTTCTCCTTTTCTAAAGAGTTTCGATTTGGAGGTTTCTCATTATTAAGAAAACCTAGAGATCTCGTGGCAATGAGATCCTCAGGATTTCCAATGCATGGGTGGCGCCCTGGGATTGGTCGCACACCCCTCAAAATGGGAACCGGGGTGGCATCTTCAAGGCGTTCAACATGAATGTATTGGCCTAATTGGATCTTGTCACTAGAAATCAAGTCATTATGTTCATTGGGTAAAGAGACGTAAGTAGCATGAGAAGAATCCGAGACTTTGAGATAGAAGCCTTTGTTGGAGAAGAGCTCGCCACCTGAGAGAGCGGGAACAATGCTGATGACTTGAAGGAGAGATGAACGGTGCTCACCGGCAATTTTGATATCAGTGTTTATATGTTGTAGGAGTTTTAGGAGAACACCCGGGACCAATGAAGCCATTTTGTCAGGGTTCTAAAGCTCATCACTCTGTAAAGTAGAATACTTAATTTCAGAACTATATTAAAAGTTCAAGTTGAAAAATCAAGCTAATAGAAGTTGAAGATGATACACTGGATATGAGCTGCCACCTCATTTAGCACAATGAGCTATCAAGAGATAAGAGTGGGCAAGGCACAAAAGCTTACTTTATAAAGGTAACGTATTTAATTTCAGAACTATAATAAAAGGTGCTCAAGATGCAAAAATCGAGATAACAGAATTTGAAGATGGATATACTGGATTTGAGCTGCCATCTCATTTAGCAAAATAAGCTACTGTAGAGTGGACATCATTGGTAGCTATCTCTTGATATCTTATTAGCTATCTCTTGATAGCTTATTTAGTAAAATAAACTAGCAGAAGATAGGATGATGCGACTTTCAATAAAATGCAAGAATTGTGAGGTAATTCAGATATCAGGAAAGGGATTTCCATATTTTGATTGCTACACTGTCAATTTATAAAGAGTAACAGATTGGGTCAGGATAACTTTGCTATAGAATATTGACGATCACAGGAATCTCCTAAACTGAAATAGATACAAAGAAAAGATCCTTCAATTTTATGCAGTAGTTAATTAAGAAAGACACTGGGTATTTGCTCTTATGCTATAGCTAGTTCATTGCAACGGAAACTTTGATTTTTCGCACATACATACAAGAAATTAGTTCTATCACAGATATCTAATAGCTTAAAGGGTAATGATTCCTCAAAAACCAATTTCTGAGCTCAAGCCGAAACTAAGGCAATTGCTTGAAGACAACATAACACATAGTCAAATGAAGTTAAATATCTTGAACAAGTCCAACTTATTATATAATGGCTCCCTGCTAAAATCAATGAGACAATTGGCAGTGTACAATGTTACTATAGTAAATTATTAGACTCCAAAATCATGAGAGAGGACACAAGTCACACAACAAAGCGTGAGTATACAATCCAGAATCAATAGATATTTTATAATGTTAGCAGGAATATATCTAAACTTTTGAACCTTCAGAAACAATGAGGACGTATAGAATTGAATTAGGAAATAGCAAAAAACAAAATCCATATAATTTACTAAAGGAAAGTGCAATACTCATTCTACCTAACTGAGAACCAGTCTTTTGTGAGCAATAACCAGGAATGAAAGTTGAAAGTTTGATAGAATTGATATTAAGGTTAATTTGAACATATCTGGGAATAATCATTGTAACTAAACAATTAAGAAACAAAACCTACTTGTCGAAGACTGAAAGGTAAATGGGCCTAAATGATGATGTTACTCAGAGAAATTAAACTTGGGTCAATAACTGCACAAAGAAATGCATAAATCCTACAATGCATCAGGAAGACTAAAATTAACTTCCTGTGATACCTAAACTTGATGAATAACATATCCAAGTTTCTCAGTGAATTTTTTCTTCAAGCACAATAGATTAAATTTGGAAAAGAAGAAATTTCTTATTTCAGCAACAAAAAGAGAAAGGGCAGTTTTGAAAAACTTGATGAATAATTTGAAGTCCATAAAGTATTCATCCTTCATGAAGAATACAACATCATTGTGATACCTGAAGATGTGTAATTTGCCTAAACTTGATGAATAACATATCCAAGTTTCTCAGTGAATTTTTTCTTCAAGCACAATAGATTAAATTTGGAAAAGAAGAAATTTCTTATTTCAGCAACAAAAAGAGAAAGGGCAGTTTTGAAAAACTTGATGGATAATTCGAAGTCCATAAAGTATTCATCCTTCATGAAGAATACAACATCATTGTGATACCTGAAGATGTATAATTTGCAGATAAATGTTATCATAATAAAATATTGGTAATTGGTCTAAAAATATTGGTAATTGGTCTACATCGGATCAAAAGCTAAATTTCTATAAAGCATACAACAGTTGTTTGATCACCGAGGTCTGGGTTGATAATTCAGAACAAAGAAAGGATATTTTTAAAGGAATCAAATTGAACTTGAATTAGATTGAAACAATCAAATTGAGTTTTTTTTTATAACAAAACCCATTTTTGAGATGAGATAAACTAAAACAGTTTCACGAAAAATGTAAACAAAAGAAAAAAGTGAAAGCAGAAAATTGGATAAACTCAACCACTTTACCTTTCACAAATGAGTGAAAAGAAAATAAAATACCAACGGTCCAACACCCATATAATTATAAAGTACCTCTTATTTTCTATTTCGCCCAAAATTCTACGGATTTGATGAAAAGAACAGCTTTTCCCCAATACCCAGATGAAAAAAATTCAATCTTTCTCCAGAATTGCAACATTTTTCACAAACCCAGAACGAACCCGCGCCCAAAAAAGTTAGAAATTACAATAAAAAACAACTCTGTAATCAGAGAGAAAACTAACCTTAAGAAATTATCAGAAAATGTGGGATTTGGGAGGCAATTGATGCTGTCTATGATTTCTCCGTGATGATGAGCATTAGAACAAAGAGAAAGAAACCATGTTTAGAGAAGAATTAACAGAGAAGCGAGTAGAGGATTGTTTCGGTTTTCAATTCTTTTGCTTGTTTTCTACAGCGGTTGATGGCAGCAGAGCTGTAACCAAACCCCACTGGGCCCCACACACAAATAATCCCCACCGGGGTGCTTCCTTATCCGGGTAAAATAATGGGTAAAATTTCACAAAACCCCTCTTACGTTCGGAATTTCTCATTCAAGTCCCTTAACTTGTAAAATGTCATAGAAAACCCCTTAACTTTTGGGATTATCAGAAAACCCCTCTCAACATTCAATATTTTCGAAAGCTCCCTTCAGAGCGTGAATCACAATTTTCACTAGCAAAAATATCATCATGCGTAGTTTTACCTACCCGTGTGAAAATTATGATTAACATCATTAGGTGGTTTGTTGAATAATACTGAAGGTTGTAGTGTTTTTTTAGAAACATAAAACTTAATAAGGGTTTTATAACATTTTGAGAGTTTAGGGGAATTGTATCTTAAACTGCCAAATTTAAGGGGTTTTCCTAAAATTACGCTAAATAACTGGAATATTTTGCATTCATGTCTTCCAAATATTTCATATACGTAGATTTAACCTCCAAATTTAGATGTCTACTATATTCATATATCACTACTAGAAATATGAGTATTAACGACGGATATATAGCGACGAATAATTCTGTCGCTATACGTTGACTTATAGCAACAGATATATCCTTCGCTATATATCCGTTGGTAATATTATTATACCGACGGAAAAATTGTTAATGGTGACGAAAAATTTCCGTCGTCATTAATTTCCCGACAAAAATTTTTGTCGTTAAAAAGCCGTCGCTAAATATGTTTTTAGCGATGGAAAATCTGTCGCTAAAAAGCAAAAGATAGGGAAAAATTAGGCGTGGACTTGCCCAAATTTTTTGGGCAAGCCCGCGCCCTGTCCCTCTTTCTCTCTCCCCCTATATATACTTCTCTCTGCCTCTCTCTCGTTGGCCGTTACCAGTGACTAGTCGACCAACGGCCACCGGCGTCGGCCGACGAGAGAGAGGCAGAGAGAAGGAGAGATGTAGGGGTGGAGAGAAAGAGATATTTCTTTTTTATAGTTTTATTTATTATATTTTAAATTATAATTAGTGTTTAATTTTTGCAAAATAAAGAAATTGTGCAAAAAATCCCAAACCCTAATAAAAAGTTTTCATCTTGATACAATTATAATATAAACAATAAAATTTAGTACGGGTTATGGTTAGGGTTAGGGTTAGGCGAGGGTTAGGGTGAGGGTGAGGGTGAGGGTTAGGGTTAGGGTTAGGATGAGGGAGAGGGCGAGGGGTTATGGTGAGGGCGAGAGTTAGGGTTATGGGTATGGCGAGGGTGAGGGTTAGAGTTTGGTGAGGGTTAGGGTGAGGGTTAGGGTGAGGGTGAGGGTTAGAGAGGGCGAGAGTTAGGGTTAGGGGTATGGCGAGGGTGAGGGTTAGAGTTTGGTGAGGGTTAGGGTGAGGGTTAGGGTGAGGGTGAGGGTTAGAGTTAGGGTTAGGATGAAGGAGAGGGCGAGGGCGGGGGTTATGGCGAGGGTAAGGGTTAGGGTTATGGGTATGGTGAGGGCGAGGGTTAGGGTTTGGTGAGGGTTAGGGTGAGGGTGAGGGTTAGGTTAGGGCGAAGGAGAGGGCGAGGGCATGGGTTATGGCGAGGGTGAGGGTTATGGCGAGGGTGAGGGTTAGGGTTAGGCGAGTGTTAGGGTTAGGTGAGGGTTAGGGTTATATGAAGGGTTACAGTGAGGGTTACGGTGAAGGTTAGCATAACTATTACATCGCTAAATACATAGAAACTGTACACACACATATTTTCGAGCCGTAGAATTCCTCGTCCAATAAATATTATATATAATCTCTTTATTTACTTGTCACATACGTGTACGGGGTGGTTGGTGGATACGAGACCATCGTGTTCGGTCCGACAACCTTTTCGAAGCGTATGTGACAGGGTGCTTATATATAAATATTTATTGGATCTGTCCAGTATGGACTTGTTAGGTATGTAAACGTGACGTGTATATATATTTACGTGTGTTCTTGTGTACTTTCATTTCGTCAGAGTTTCGGCGGCGCTTACTCGTTGTTATCCGTGTACAAATGTCGGAGGGATATGCAGGAGTATATCCTTCCCACTATAGTGTACTCGGAGAACAACGGGTAGGTGCTGCCAAAATTTTGACGAAATGAAAGTATATTTGAACACACGTAAATACATATACACACCACGTTTACATACCTAATGGGATAGAAGCCTTGCTCTGACAGCCGGTCACACACGCTTGTCCTAAATTAAAATGATATATGTAGGGATATGCTCACTTCCATTAATTTTTAAATTCTAGATGTAGACAGTTCCTGACAAATCGTTCATGAGCATACCACGTGATCGGAGGTATCTAGACGCCTGTTACAAGGATGAGATAGAAACTTTCTTAGCCTACTCTGACACAAATCCTCTACGGTCGCTGAGCGGGTCGATTTTCTATGCTTGTAAGAATTACAGGAACGGTAAAATGCTCGCTAGGAGTGACGTAAGTTTTGATCTGTCAATCAATGGATTTGATAGCTCTTATGTATTTTGGAGTCATCACGGTGAAGGCGTCCCGATGATGCAATTAGAGGAAGAGTTCACTAAAGTTGGCAATCCGACAGTTGACACGATTGATATGTTAGAAGATATTCTTACCGTGCTGTCGGGTGAGTGATGTGTGGTTGTGTGGGTGGGGGCGAGGGAGAAGTTGTTGGTTGGTTGGTGGGTGGGGTTGGGGGATGACTGGTAGGTGGTGGTGGTATGTTCTGTGTTGTTTAGTGGTCGTTATGTGTTTGGTTGGTGTCGGGTTTGGTCGTGGTGGGGGAGAGGGAGGAGTGGGGATTGGGTGTGTGTACGCATGCGTGCTTGTGTGCGTGTGCGTGTTGATGGTCGTGTGGATGGTGCATGCATGTGTGGTGAGAAAATTACGGGTGGTGTTAGGGTGCGTGCGTGCGTTGTTAAAAAAATTGTGCGTGCGTGCGTATAATACATAAGAATAAGCCATGATACTATCTCCAAAACATATAATACATAAGATTATGCCATGATACTCTTGTTGGACCCTAGAGGGGGGGTGATTAGGATCAAGAGGCTATAATTATGCAATAAAATTAAGACAAGCAAACCACAGATTCTAATGCAATCAAAATAGAGGAGATAGGATTAGGAATCGTTATCCTGTGACGCACGATATGTTAACGAGGTTCGGTCCGCTAACCTACGTCCCCGCTCCCCACTCTCGAGGAGAAATCCACTACACAACCCGGTTTGGAAGCCGAAACTTCGTCTACACAGCGATCCCCACACGATCTCACACTACACAGTTGATCTCACTAGATCACACTCACTCACAGTTGATCTACACAAGATCACACTCACAAGATAGTAGAAATGGTGTAAGACTCTCTCTTTACAACGTCCCTATGGCAAAGAGAAAGAGCACACTGAAGCTGGGAAGTGAACACACAGAAACTCAGTGAAAACAGGTTTTGAAATATAAGCTCTGAGAAAAACAACGTCACTGGTTTTTGCAAAGGCTGGGACACTGAGGAAGAAGAAGAGGTAGAGTTTAAATAGGAGAAAAACAGCTGTTTAAACCCATCCCTTAATCCCCCAAAATCTGGAACAAAACGTCGCTGAGATCTGTACTGAGCGGCGCCACAAAAAGAACATATTTTACCGTTAGAATAATACGGCGGTCGACCGGCGGAAATTTCGGTCGACCGACGGAAAAGTTCGGTCAACCGACGAAAATTTCGGTCGACCGCTATCCAGATCAAAAACGAGAAAAACAAGCAAAGACTTATCCGGTTGACCGGTGCGGTCGACCGAAGGAAGCTCTCGGTCGACCGCGACGGTCGACCGACGAACTCTCTGCTGCCCAGTGAGGAATGAACATAGGTGCGGTCGACCGATGCGGTCGACCGCATTCTGATACATCCCAAAACACTGTTTTTGACTCAACTAAAATATTTAGAAAATATTTATTTGACCTCTGAAAATTATGAAACTTTGTAAAATGTTTTTGATGCTAAAAACAAACTGTTTGGAAAAGGAATTTTGCAGATAGGTCCTCATACTTGTGAAAAATAGTATTTTGTAAAAAGCGCTTAAAAACATAAGTATGAAAACGTGTATGTGATATCCCAATAGCTTCAAGTGAAATCAATAACTCTTTACCTACATTCTAATACTAGAGAGAGAATAAAAACTAGCTAATATCCTCACATAGAATAATAACTCTTTGCCTACCTAGCACTAGAGAGAAAAAAATAAAAGATAGCTAATATCCTCATATAGAATGCAATGCTTGAGTTTTGATATAGCTTGAATTTGATGAAGCTTCTATTTGAATTTGTTGTTCTTGAAATAACGTTTGCTTCATCACTATGCATCCTCCTCCTTTGGATATCATCGTTGTAGCGCATATTCCATCCAATTCTTCATTTGTGGCACTAATAAGCTTGATATATGAATTCACTACATTTGTACTTAATAAGCCATTAGTACCGATAATGGTGGTTATCTTCCCCTTTTTGATAATGACAACCAACCATTATAAGAGCAAAAAAAATAAAATAGCTTATAGATAGGTGCTCCCCCTATCTATGAGCTCCCCCTAAATATATGCAACAAATGAGGAGATTTCTCTCCCCCTTTGTCTCAAAAAGAAATGGGGTAAAGAGAAATACAAAATGCAACTAAACAAGCAAGCAAATGTAGAACTTTCACATAGTGCATAAGCCCAAACCATTTCTTATGCGATAAAAATCATCCTCTCCAAGAGGCTTAGTAAATATATCTGCTAATTGAGATTTTGTGTCAACAAATACTAGGGATACATCTTGTCTCTCAACATGATCGCGTAAGAAATGATGGCGCACATCAATATGCTTAGTTCTAGAATGCAAAACTGAATTTTTGGAAATATTTATAGCACTAGTGTTATCACAAAAAAATTTTATATTTTGAAAATTCAAATCATAGTCAACTAAGCTTTGTTTCATCCATAAAACTTGAGCACAACATAAGCCGACGGCAATGTATT